CTGTAGGTAAAATATCTCTTGGGAGCAGCATTTCTTGCTGACGCCATATAGAAGGCTTGGCAGAATGCCCTGTGCTTTTCAGATATTTTTTGCTGGTAGCAGAAAATTCCTCCTGCAGGGCTGTAGAGCCAGCCCCCTAAAGCCCTTGACCCTGAGTGTGTAATCTCCCTGGAGACCTAATGCACATGAAGAAATATAATCTTGAAGCATCTGCTGTCTGTCTTGTGTTAAAGTCTAACTGGGATGCAACTGTCGAATCTACAGCTCACTCATTGCAGAATCCTTTACAGGGCAATAAAAACTGCAATCTCTCTCTATTGCTTTAAGAAGGGGTATTTTGTTATGGCTGCAGCCTGAGAGGTTTCTGTATCCAACAGACATTTCCCATGCTTTAGTGTCCTGGGAAGGTAATAGCACACAACAGATGGGAAACGGAGCCGTTTCGCAAGGTCACGGTCATGGCATCCCATGCAAATCCTTTGCCCACTGGGACCTTGTGGCGCATGAGCTATGCTGGGCAAGCCAGGAAGAGCTTTCCTGCTTGCACAGTGACAATTGGCAGGGAGGCCTGGGAGGACCGTCTTGGCAAATGGATCAGTCTGACAGATCAGCTTTCCCGCTGGGCCTGAAAGGAAAGGAGAGATGTTTCTTTTCAGAGGAGACACAGAGAAGAGGGGTGTCTCCTGTTTTTTAGATTTCTTTGTATGTTTTTCTGAGCCAGTTGAGGACTTAGTCTCTGCTCTGAAGACATAGGTGTAGGGAGCAGAGAAGAGTGCTTTAAATGCAGAACTAGCAAGGAAAGAACAATCAATATGGCTTGCCAACGATACTCAAATCTGCTCTTGTTTCAGTTTTTCTGTATTTTTTTTCTACACTGTAAACTCATCTCCTTGATATCTGCCCTGTCTTTCTCTCAGTCTCGGTCTTCCCTTCCCCCACTTCTCCCTTTAATACTGGTGTCCTCATTTCCCCTTTTGTACGTGTGACCCTTTCACTATGCAGGGATTAGTATCTCACTCATAAATATGTGAAATAGATACGCAGATGATTTAATTTGCTGGGTTTTGTAGGGCTAGTGAGACAGACTGGCATGGGGAAAAGGTCCTAGCACGTCAGCTGAAGAAAACATCTTGGGCACAGGATGAATAACGTGAAACACCAGCACCAGTCCAGGAGGGACACCTCAAGGGGCAGGGAGAAGGTAGTAAAACATAAAGGCTAGGCAACTATGGAAGAGCAGAAGACAAAGTCAAAGATGCCTCTGTTTCTCCCATTTGTTATATGTATCTTCCAGGGAGAAAGGACAAAAGTGAGGTACATGAGAAAAAAAAATGGGACCAGAAATCTACCCTGCCTGCAGTGGTTCAAGTTATTGGTAACTCATTCAGGAAGAGATGCCAGAGGAGCCAAGAAAAATGCTGGTCTAGTGAGATGGTGGCAAGCTAGGAGGGAGGCAGAGGTCTGGGACATGAGGAGGAGATGGCACTAAAAGTTGTGTAACTGAATGGGGCTGCCCAGACTGGGGACACAGCTGATCTGAACAGGGATTCCTGAGGAGGGGGAGAGTAGCCATAAGGAGGTGACAACAAAGGGCTAGAGATAACAATGCTGTGAAGCTCTGGCCAAGAAAAAATTGTCAAATGGCAAGGATTAAGTTACCAGATCCAAAACAGGAAAAAAAGATCACACTATAGCCTAACAGGCAATAAGACCTTGCCAGGAGGCAGCTAGTGAGGCAGAGAGGAAGGACAGAATGGGCAATGGAAGATAAAGCAGAAAAATAAGGTTTAATGAACCACACATGACAGCAGTCAAGGCCAGGCTTACTGCTGGCTTTGCCAGCAGCCCTAAGGTTGCAGGCAGCCTTGCTGGGACAGTATAACACCACAAGCTTCATGCTGGGTGCATGCCCAGAGGTCAGTGGCCAGCACAACTGCAGCCTGTGCTGTTGTTTGGAGATGTTTGTGCTACTTTCAGCAGTCATGCAGCACAAAGCCCCACCATAAGCACACTGCTGGGGGACATGCTACCCTTACTGTGAGATCAAAGGACAGCTGGGCTTTATCATCATACTTGTCAACCAAAGTATCATTATCATTACTATGCTGACTCAAATCAGCCCCTGCTGAAGAGCCAGTTCACCATCCAGTGACATTAAAAGCTGTTTTGCTAGAGAATCTGACTACCAGCATCTGGCTAAGGTAGACTACTGTGTGCCACCTGGAGTCACAGAGAGGAGGCCCCTAGTGTGCCACAAACCATGCTCCACTGTCATGGCTTGTTGCTGGCATGCTCAAATCATGATCAGGGATTTGCCTTCCTGCGTGGCAGACAGGGCTGGATGGAAAGGGACAACAGAGGTACCTCTTGGACATTTTAGTCAAGTTCTTTCATTAGTGGAACAGAGCTGGGATGCTTACTCTTATCCTTGAAAATTTCAAGAAACTTTTTTCAACGCTTACTCCCTCTGGTAACTTAGCACTTACAGATCCGGTTAGGGACATGCTTACATCAATGTGACAACAAAAACACATGGCCTGGCCTGGACAATTTGCAATGTCCAAATCCTATGGCTGAGACTGGAGACAGCAGACAAATCCAGTGGCCAAAAGATAGAGCAGCAGAAGAACAGGAAGTCTAGGATCAACACTGCAGCCTGGGTGGGAGTACTTTTGGTTGCTGCCTTACCTGAGAAAGAGGAGTGGATGGGATGGGTTCGACTTAGCAGGGTGCACACTGCTCTCCTGAACAATAATAGAGTGCATACAGACTGGAAGCCAAACCCTGTCAAAGGAACCAGAACATCCCCAAGTGATAACTCCCCATTTTTAAAAGATGAAGCAGGATAGTATGGTATGTTTGCCTTAATCTGATTTAAACACCATATGTAAAACATGTTTGAAAAACCTAGGCCTAACTTCCCCCTGTGAGCTGACTGCTCATCAATTAGAGGCTTTCATCTCCTGACACATCTAACTGAAGCCATACCAAAGCTCACAAACATGCAGCTTGCAAGAAGGTCAAGAACATCCAACTTAGATCTTAACCTTCTTCATATGTATTTGGGCTTTATTTTGGATATTCTCTGGAGTTCATCTGCTCAAGAAAGTGGCAGTGAATAGGCAGCTAAACAGGATGGCTCTTCTTTGCTGGTAGAAGTTGCATGTATGCCATCAGCTATGTTTGTGCATCTGAACACACTCATTATGTATATACATTTATGTGAAGGATGAGGTGAACTTTATTAATCTACATTCACTGAAACTCTAAGAGATTGAGCAGAGAAGCTTTTTGCTGAATTTAGTCTTGAAAGCCTATTGTGTACCATTGTGTGGAAGGTAGAGCAAACACAGTAATTGCATGCTTCCTGCTCTACTTGTGCCTGAAGGCAAGTGTATAAAATGTTTTCTGCTTTTCAAAGCACTGACAACTGCAACTGTTGTGGGCTTCAATGGAAGGTACAGCTCCTCAGCAAATAATTAACACAGCATTTTTGTTCAACTGCCAAAGATGGGGTCCAGACTTGCTGCAGGGAGGCTTGGGTACCTGTCACTGCAGCATGGGCTTGCAGTGGACATAAAGCATGGAAAAGGACAGGATACCCCAAAGGAGCTGCTGGAGAAAGAGGAGCAGCAGGAAGAGCTGTGGTATCAGATGATTGTTCTAACAGAAACAGCATCACAGATAAGCTCTGCAGTAACTGCAACACAAGCTGATAGAGCAGATGGTCACCTCAGTTTAGCCTTTAACATAGCTTGTTGCCCCTAGCAATATTTACCCAAAAGTACTCTACTGATGGAAATGGGATTACGGAGCAGACAGAGGGAATCAGTCCTATTTTATACAAGATACAGGGCTGCCTATCAGCTGTGACAGTCCCTTCATGTGCTGGCTTTGACTTGGGCAGACAGAGCAATGTCATGAAATGCACAACCATTTCTGGGACAGCTTCACATGGTGGAAACCAGGTAGCACTTCCCCAGTTTCCCAACTTTGTTGAAACGTTATTAACTCACTCCACAAATCCGGAAACTTGGTTAAGAGGTAAAATGTTAAACTCCCTTTTCTCTTTCTGAAATGATCTTTTTGGAACTGTCAAGACATTTTCATCAGCACCTGATCAGTGTTATTTTGGCTTAATTCTGACCCACTTCAGTAATTCTTCAGAAGCAAGATTTCATTAGTTTGTGAAAAGCACCTCAAAGATCCTTCCATGAAATGTGAAAATACTATTATCCTTATTCTCCAAATACTAAGATAAAGAACCACACTGAAATAGCAATACAGAAATGTTGCAAATCTGATTAACTACAATGGAAAACAACATTCTTCACTAGAAAGTGTCCCATATTTGAAAGGCCAGACATATTTAAGCATATGTATATCTCACCTACTTAATAAATGTCTCAACTGCACATTTATGTATTTTTATTAAAGAGAAAATTGCTTGTATTTCCTTCTCTTTCTTCTGCATTATAGCATTAAGGCAGGACTGTATGCCAAACAACAGTATAAACAAATAGCATCACCAGACACTTAAAGGTCTTCAGCTCCTAAATTGACTAAAGCATAAATACAAACTGACGTCAAACATTTGAGATTACCATTTTAAAATTGCTGTTTTCTGAGACAGTAACGAAGGCCGTTCATATCAGAAAATTCAGTGCCTACAATAGGAGTGAGCTGCCCAGACTCCAGAGTAAGGAGTCAAAGAAATGCTCTGCATCTCTTGGAATATAAAACCTGCCAATTTGCTTTAGACTGATGAGAAGTGCCAGATACAGAGAATATGAAGAGATTCTTTCAACCTAACTCTTGAAGATTTAGGAGTGTCACCACCAGTCCTTGCTCTGTCACCATTATCAGCAGTGTTTTTATCACCCACTCTGCTCATCATGGTCCTTGTGTGCTGGAAGCCCAGGATGCCCATCCAGGCTGTGCACTGGAGCTGCACAGCACACCCCATGCAATGCAGAGAGCAGCTGTGTGATCATACTGACCTGCTCCAGAGCTGTATAAAGTCAGCTTCTACATTTGGTCTTCAGGGTCTCCATTAAACAGTTTAAATCTTAAACAAGTAAGAGCACAACTTATAGGACCTATATTGGCTTAATGAGCATTAGCTTGCACATCCCAAGGTGATGTATTTTTCCACAAAACTGTAAGGTGGGAATCACCTAGAGAGAAAGAAGACTGGAGATTTGAACACACCTAGTTTGGAGTAAGCTCAAGCAATCATACACTTTGGGGCAAGCAAGGCATGTGCATTTTCAGAAGTAGTGAAGATTTCAATGGGAAAGCACAACTTTGTATTTGAAGATGTGGTGCCTTTGGTCACAAACTAACCAGTGCATCCCCAAGAAAACAGCACCTTTTCCTTCCACATCTGTGCTAGTTGCCCAGGGGCCCAAAGCAGAGCAGGTACAGGGGGCATCAACTGCTTCTCTAACTTCCCCTCTTGTTCACAAAGCGGTTTGACCAGTTGTCAAACCCTTGATGGAGCAAACCCTTGCCATCCTAGAAGATGCAAGCTACTCCACATGGTACAAATTCACTATGAGGTCTGTGGAAGCCTTGCTTGTGATGAGCCTGAAGTCCAGAGCCTTACAGCTCTTAAGGAATCAAAGTTCCTGTGCCCAGGTGGAGACAGACCTGTGTTAGCATAAAACCTTGAGTGGTGCCAAGGCCCCTGAGCAGCTGCAGAGCTTGCTCCTTTCTCTGGGACAGAAGGTGGAAGGAAGGGAATGTCCCTTCCCCAGCAGTTGGCTCAGGACACTCCAGGAGGAGTAAGGGAAGACAGGATCAAAGGGAGGCCGTTTGCCAAACATGGACAATGCTGTTTTTGTTCTCACCAGCTCTGTGACTGATAGTGGTTTTTAGCTGCCAAAGCAGCTGTATAAGGTGACACACATTATTAATAGCTTCTGGTTCGGTAAGGGGCCATATGAGAAGAAAAATTTCTGTCTACAACAGGGGAGGGACCGCAGAGGGATTTGGTAGCTGCCAATGTGCAGGAAAGAAGAGGAAAAGAGTATTCTACCCCCTCAGGTGGTTCAGCTGCATTTTGCAGGCAGAAGTGAAGAACAAGAGCTCAGGTCTGCAAGCCTCCCCCTTGAATACAGAGCATATTGCATGTGTTCAGGGCCTAGGATAAACTAAAATAGAAAAACATTTGTTTCAGTTCACATCTTGGTTGTGGCTCATGTTTTGTTTACAGAAAGGGCAGAAGTTTCCATGAGTGAAAAAATTCCCTTTCTTTCTCTGAAGGTTTTAGAAAACCAGTCAGCAGCAGAGCAATGCTACTAAACTCAGGACTTCAGTCACCTGCTTCCTAATTCTCAGAGCAGCTCAAGCCCTGCAGTCTTTTTTTACCTTTTATAGTCACAAGACTAGTCAAGCAAAATCTTGATTGGATTATTCTGCTTTAATTACAAAATGCGCTCAGACCAAAGATGCAATAGTACCTGGTACGTATGTATACATTTCTCTCAATTATAACACAAAAGACCATAATGCCATCTGGTCCTGCTGTAGATCAAACATTCCCCTCTGGCAAGATCTTTGGAGTATGAACAGATACCACAATAATGCTTGAACTGCCTCTTATGTGACGGACACCAGACTCTGTATTTATTTATCACATACTTTGAGATCCTTTAGAGTGGACTGTACATAAGATAAGCAAGAGAACAGAAGCAAAACTGGAACCTTGGGGAGTCCATATCCCACCACCCCCTGGAAAAGAAAGGCAGAGATCAGGGTCACTTTCTCTTTGCTGCAGTTAGGACAAGGTAGATAAATCACAAGGTATTTTTATTGCTGGTGAACTCAAAACAGGCAACTTTAATCTACTGAGGAAGATACACATACAAACAAATGTTAGGCCTTGTGCGTTTTTTTTTCTTCTTAATGTAAATGTCTCTTCAACTTCAGTCCAGCTCCCGAGCTCTCACCGAGCTGCCACTGAGGTCCTGGTAACGTGCTCTGGGCAGTTCTGAAAGACGTTATAAGAAGCATCACATGTATTAAAAAGGGAGATTTTGCAGAAAAGACAAAGCTCTGACAGCAGCCATGTTGCTCAGAAAGGAGAAGTCTGGCTAATCCTGCTGCATTAGGTGCGTGGTATTATACATAATTAAATGATTTAAGAATTTGCCAGGTCCTTTTCTGTTTCTGGTGTGCAAGCTGCAAGTAAAGTGCACTTCTGGGTATAAATTACCACTTTATGAAGATGCAATAGCTGGGCAGTACACATCAGACACCAGTGGAAAGCAGACTACAACAGCTGTTTCAATGACACAGGCAATAAGAATAATGCCCTAGGATACTAGATGCTGCTGGGAAACCCTTCCATATTTTGAGAAGTTAAATATAACATCACTCAGCAAAACACACAAAAACGTCTCATTTATGTGGGACCTTAAGTACAGACAATAACAGACACAACTGCTATTGCACACCAGGTTAGCTCTGTGGACAGCCAGTCCTCCACACCACATTGCTAACTCCTTTTAACCTTTCCAAAGAGTTTTGTAACAGCTAGGGAGAAAGCAGGGATCCTAAGGATCTTTCTGTAAAGCTGAGGGTTTTACATGATGTGGGGGTGGTGTAGGAGGCAGCACAACACCACATTTAAGCTATGCTGTGAGAGGACAACCCAGCTTTAGACACTGCATTTGATGATCGTGACATAACCAGGGCCAAAATGGTAGGATCCCAACTCTCATCTGCACCTTGCAATTCTTGCTCTGCTTCAGTAGAGCTCATCTACATTATCCCACATACAAAGCTATCTTTTTTTCTTTTTCCTCCATGTACAGTTTCAGGTGACTATTTTGCCTGGGTCTATACTCCTGAGACCAACAAGGCTGACAAACTACATGCTGTTCCTCTGATTTCATAACACTGGCACCATAGCATCAAAAGAACTATCTGTTCAGTGTTTGTTCTCTTTTAATTTAATGAACTATAAAAAGGGAACTCTAAATACCCACCTAAGTATTCTCAGTGATTCAGGATACATTGCATACCCAGAGCAGATTGATTAACCCCTTGCCACCACTGTTTTCATGTGTCCATTGCCAGCAATGGATGCCATGTGAAAAGAGGAAGGGAAGGAATAAATAATTGCTCTCCATGTAATACAAAAAAGGATTAGCACTGCCCTGTAAGAGCAGAACCAAGAAACAATTCTACTCACAGGGTCAGCAGTGCTTTTCTTCTCAGGAATGGCCGTGCCAGGGCAAGGAGCAAGTTCATAGCTGAGCACCCCCTACCAGAGACAAGGGACATACACAGAAATGGCCCAACTATTTCCAAAATAAGAGTGGAATCCTACAACAGATTTGCATTCCAAGCCAAATTATCCCTGACTGTGGTGGAAGAACAAGAAAAATTAATCTGGCCTTATGGAACAACTCTGGCAAACCTTCCCCATAAATCAGTTCAGGAGTGAGACATCTGACAGCTGGAAGCTCCATGTTCCTTGCTAACTTCAAAGGCCAAGACTTGACAGTGAATTACAAACTTGTGGCTGCCACCACCAAACAGCTTCCCTGCACCACAGCTGTCCTTGTTCTCCATAAGTGTTCCCAACAGATTAAATTTCAAATTTCAAACTGTCCCTGGTGCAGGTAGGTCTACAGTGAAGCCACAGGAGTCCCTTCTGTTCCACCTCTCTACTGCTGCTCTCACACCCTAACTCAAAGGCTCATTCAGGCAGAGCAGGAAGAAGTGCATGCTTTTCAGAGATGGGTGTTTTGTTTTTGTTTTTTTTGTAAATGTATCAGGCAGCATGGTATATCTCTTGCTGCTTCCAATTACTGTCATGACAATACGCTTGTGGTTATTTAAAGCAGAATTTGAGAAGTAAAAGCAAATCCACTTGATACAGTGAGCAGAACACTAGGCAGAACTGAGCTGAGCCCTGCCAGTGCTGAAGGAACATGGGAGTCAGTGCCAGAGGACCAAATCCTGGATCAGCCACATGAAGGTTTTGACCTTCAAATGGGCTAGACTAAGTCATCAACATCACCAGAAACAGAGGAATCCCTGGAAAGAAAGGCAGAAAAGCCTTGTGGGCTATATAGTCTCTACAAGGTTTGCACAGCTGAGATGGGAGCTGGAATCTGCAGCAGGATCTGCTTTGGGGGGACAAAAGAGATGGGAAGACTTGCACTATTTCTTGTGCCTTTTGCCAAGATTAAGATAGCACAGATTATGGTAAAATTCACTTGGCAAAAAAAAAGGCTTTATTAGAAAGAAAAAAAAAAAGAAGAAAAATAAAAGAAGAAAAATAAAAGAAGAAAAATTCTAGTGAGTATCAGGACTGAGATTTCAAAAAGTACAAGATCGGTATAAATTCAGCAAGATGTCCAGCACCAGATTATTTCATGGTGCAACAAAGAACCTGGGGAGAGGCCAATGGGACCTGGTGGGGGGAACACCATCTACCTCCCCAGCAGATTGCCAGTCTTAGGTACTTCTCAACAGCAGATGGATTTTGCTTGTTCCTGCAGCATCTCAGGTCCCACGGGAGGTATTGGTTGAAGCAAGCACCTGAATATTGCCTAATGGAGTAAGCCAATCACTAACTCAGCTGGCGTGTCCATGCCCATCCACTGATGAGGTGGGGTTTTTTTGGATGCATTTCCGCTGTAGCACTTCTTTTTTCTTCTTTCTCCACTTTAAAGTGTAAGCAAAAGGACTGCTTTCATCAGTAATAAGTTAAAATCAGAAACAACCTAACTAACAAGTAACTCATATTGGTCCTTGGAGCCCAAAGAGTAAAATCCATAGAAAATCTATTGGTTCCATTTTTTTCTGGTATATCCCATGCACACCCCCATTAGAAAAATGGGGTTTATGAATCTAATACAGCAAGGAGCAGTACCTCAGAGCCAGAGCTGACTGTCCATGGCAGAGGTCTGGGCTCTCTCAGATTGCTAAGTATGGCTCTAAGTCACTGCTCAATCTGTCTTCACGTGGCCATTGGCCAAGGCAACGGGCACGGTGGGGGCCCCGGGCTCGGCAGTCTCATCAAATCGCAAGCGCAGCGTGTTTCTGATCACCAGCTGCTCCATGATGAAAGAAGCACAAAACCACGGGATGGCATACTCCAGGGTGATCAGGCCCATGAAGTCAAAATCAAACTGGGAATAGTCCCATGGGCAGGCATTGAACTGGCGTAGGATGAGGCCAGTGGTGAACTCCCAGAGATATGTCCACAGAGTGTAAATGAAGCAGCGCACTAAAATGTTACACTTGTCTTTGAGATACAGATACATCTTCTCCACAATGAGGATGGAGGTGCCATAGATGAAGAGTGCCCACACACTGGTAACACCTGGGAACTTCCAGTTGAAGTTGACCACAAACTCCCAGGCAGCTGTGAACATCACCTCACAGAAATAGCCGTGGATGGCGTAGAGGTACCATCGTGAGAAAGCGGTCAGAGGTTCTGCCGCAGCCATTCTTCTGCACTCACCCCAGCAGTGCTCTGAAAGGAAGAGGGAAAGAGAGGGAGAGAGGAGTCAACGAGGATGTCACAAGACCTTATCCCCCAGATGGCAACACACAAACCTGGAACAAAGGATAAATCTGAGAAAGAAGTGATGCTCATTTTCACCACAGCAGATTTTAAGTCCCGGGGAAAGGTAGCACCATACAGGGCTCCATGACTCAGGCTGGGCCTGAACAACATACACTGCTCTGCCTGAAAAATGACACGGTGCTGGTATTACATTGGTGATAGGAGGGAGTTGATAAGTACAAGGGCTTTGCCAGGAGCAAGGTTGCCAAAGAATTTACTGGTTGCAAGTCAGCAGAAAAATACAGTCATCCCACAAGGAGCATGCATCACCTGTTTGCTCTTTTCAAGAAACAGCACTATGCCTTACTTTTCTGATTCTTCTGTGGAATACATTAGTTGAACACAGCATAATAAAACTGGGCCTTTCCAGCTGTTGCCTACAGTCTCTATACTCAAAATGTTTACTGTAATTTAAAACTGAACTTTGATGGGAGCAACAGCAAGGGAACTGGAGGAAAAAATTCAGAGATTTTACACTTACAGACACCATACCTTGCACTCATTATTCAGCCGAACTTTCATTTTGCCCATTGAAGAGCTCATCCATTGTATGGCTAGCATTTGTTTATGGTGTCAGACTTCCTGATACCAAGTCAAAAAGCACAAGAGAGCCACTGAAATCCATTCAGATTTGGCTTCAGGACAGCAAAGCACGAAGGAGGATAATAAAAAGGAACAGCTGAGCCTAGAGAGGGGTAAGGTAGTCATGATAAATAAGATATGAGAACAAACTCTAATTGTCTATACAGAGGAAATTGGTGAAGAGTTTTTGAAAAGGCACAATTTGCTTATCACTGAGCTGTTTCAGTACAATTAGCTTTTACACTTTCTGTAGAGATTCACAAGTCTGCCATGTTACAGTCAATGACATGAGGTGATTATAAGCATAATTTTACTGAAGCCTTGCAGATTTACACCACAGGATAAATTTGACCTCTTTCATTCTTAGAAACTTACTCTTTCAAGTTGAGTTTCTTTGGACTCTTTACCATGCACTATATAACTTCCTCTGCACTTGTCAGTTCCATGGCACAATGTGCTAGGGAGAGGACCACACTAACTTTATGTACAGTCATTCCATGCCATCTGGAAAGAGGCTGTTCCTGCCCTGCCCTGTAAACACAGTGCCTCCCTGAAAAAAAGTATTAACATGCAACTGACATTCTGATAGGAGATAAGAGAAACTTCTATAAGGAAAAACAGAACTATAACAATAAACATGAAGAAGATATGCACAGGGAAATATTGAAAGTGAAAAGGACAGAGCTGAATCCATGATCGGTTCACACTTCTCTTAACCAGACACACAAATAACCAAAGCCTTGACAGTTCATATGATTTGGGTGCTTGAACAAAGGCCTATTTTCTAATGGCAGAATCCATTTCACACAGGACACTGAGCCATCATTACATGCTACAGAGAAAAGTCAACAGCACATAGTGAGCTTGTAGGTGAAAGAATAAAGAATCACTAAAGATTTCTTCATGTCTCCTAACAATTCAGTCCCAAGAAACTCTGTAAGACAGCAGAGGAGGTGGCACATGAGACATATGCAGGAGGTGTATATCCCCACAGTCCAGAAGAAGCTGATGCATAAGGGCACTGCAAATCAAGGAGAGTTTGTCAATAGAATGTTACTTGGTTAGTTTGCACCCATAGTTGATAAGCTTAGGACTCCAAATCCTCATATCATTATTCCATTCTGACTTAATTTCAAGAACAAGTCAAAAATCAGAGGTACAGAAGTAAGGGAAAGCACTAAGAAAGCATCATGATTTAAACTCAGCTAGCAATTAAGTGCCAGATAGTCACTTGCTCACTGCTCTTCAGAGGGACGGGAAGAGGAATTGGGGGGGAGGGAGGGGGAGCGGAGAGAAAAGTAAAACTCATGGGTTAAGATGAGTTTAATAATTGAAACAAAGTAAAATGTAATAACAATGTAATTAGCTCAGCTGGTTAGAGCACGATGCTAGTAATGCCAAGGTTGTGGGTTTGATCCCTGTATGGGCCACTCATGAGTTAGACTTGATCCTTCTGGATCCCTTCCAACTCAGAATATTCTGTGATGTTTCTGTAATATGTAATGTCATTATCCAAAGAAGAAAATTATTGTAAAGATTTTACTAAGTTGCCAAGGGATTATATGGTTTTCCTCTCTTTTCTATAGGTGTAACTTTTTCACTTGTGATCCTTAGTCCTTGCACTTCTCTCTACAGCTTTACATGAAACGTGTTTGAATTGTTAGCTGGGAGCAGCCTTGTAATTTTGCACATCTATTCACAAAATTGGATCAAATGCACAGAGGGTCCTTCTCTCTCCCTCTCCATTTTCATTCCAAGGATCCCCTCACCAATTATTTCCGTTGCCTTATACCTCCCTACAAAAGCCAAAGACTCATAGAAACATCCAACAAGCCACCTCCTGTTCTACCCCACACTATTTCCTCTGTGCAATGAAGATTTCTCTTTCCTGGTTCTATACCACAAACTTAATAAAAATATATTTACTTTCTGCTTCTTTTTTACTGTTTGCAAAATATTTACTACACTAGAAGTCTAATAACTGAATCTATATCAGGTCTCAGACATCTACAGGTTAACCCATTGCAAAGATCACTATTGAGTTCTTTTGAATCACATGGCTTTCACCACACCTGCAAAGAGACAAACATCAATGCACTGTTAATGTCTCAATATTTGCCTTCTCTACTGTCCTGTCTCCTCGATGGAAACTTCCTTCTTACAATATGCTTGCAAGAGTTCTCACAGACTTCCTGCTGATTAGGAGCATCCCAAGACAGCAGATGCCAATCTGTGGTAGCCCAAACATAACTGGTTCCACTGTCCTAGGCACTAAGCAAATCCACAAATCACAGCTCCTCCTGTAAATGTCAAATATGTCATCAAAATACAACAAAAAGTACATAGTAAGACAGAAAAGGAATGGAGGATACATTTAGGGGAGCTATCACAAGCCACAGCACATCACTGCACAAGCTGGGACTGTACAATGTAATGGTTACAAGTCACTTGAGCAATTAAAACTGCAGAACGATTAAAACTGCAGCTTTTCCCAAGCATCTTATTTCCCAGCCACACCAAATTATTTGGTGTCTGGTAAGCAATACTACACAAGAAGGTCTCAAGAGGGACATAAAGGAGAAAAGTGTTGTTTTATTGGGCAGCAATTAATGATAAAAGAATCAAGCTGAAAAGCATGACAGTAGTGCAAGAAGCATCCAAACAGAAGGCCAAGACTGGATTCATTAAGAAATGCAGATTTGTGAAAAGCCTTAAGTAGATAATTGAACTTGGTGATGCAAAACTTTTAATGGAGTGACAGTAATACTGACCAAAAGGTTCTAAACGTATGGGAGCTATTCAGTCTCCTCAGGAAAAGAAAAAACATTCATCACTGAGGCACTTACAATGGGATGGGCAGCAGCTTCCTGAAAATCAGAAACACAGCTGCCAGCTCTGCAGTTGTCTCAGCAGAGAGCAAACAATGCATAGAGACTGCTCATGGATGACCATGCTTGCACTGAGGCTGCTCAACTGTGCTGTTTTGGGGAAAATAGGGAGCTTCTAAATTCAAAGTTTTAAAAAATGCTTTCCCTCATCAGCAAATTATATTACAAGTAGTTCAAACAGAAGTAGTTCCTCTAATACAAAGTTATTAGGAAGCCTGAGCTAGCCCAGCACAAAATTTTTCCTTTTTTCTCTAAAGACCTTCTTTTCCAGCTTACTGAGAAAAACAAAAAAAAAAAAATAAGGCAAGTCTGTGGAAACCACTCATGGATCTCCAAGGAACACTCAGTCTTTCCCTGACTGCCCTACTGCCCTGCCTGTGTGCATAGCTCTGCTGGCAACAAAGGGGCCAAGAGCCCACTCCACCTACAGGAAACAAGCACAGACTTAACAGGGGAAAGTATATGAAGGACTGAGTTTCTCTACAGAAATCTGGTTGCAGCAATAAGTTCACTGAGGACACAAAGCTGGGAGGAGTGGCTTATACCCCCTAGTGCTGTGAAACCTTCAAAAGGATCTCAGCAGGTTGGAAAGATGGGCAGAGAAGAACTGCCTGAAATTCAAGACAAATGCAGAGTCCTGCACCTAAGGAAGAGTAACTCCATGCAAGGACAAGAGCCAACGGGCAGAAACTGATGCAGGAAGTTCCATCTGATTACGAGGAAGAATTTCTTTACTCTGTGGGTAATCAAGCACTGGACAGATTGCCCAGAGAGGCCGTGGAGTCTCCCTCACTGGAGATATTCAAGAACTGTCTGGATGCAATGCTGTGCCATGTGCTCTAGGATAGCCCTGCTTGAGAAGGGAGTTTGGACCAGATGACCACTGTGGTCCCTTCCAACCTGACCCATTCTGTGATCAGGGCAGGCCTTTGACTTATGGAGCAAGAAAGCACCAAGATTACACTTTAATATTTTACAGTTTCAGCTTTGAAATGGATATTAACAATCTTCTAGGTTGAGGTAAGATACAGATAAAACTGATGCACCAGGCCAAGTAAGGAGAAAGGACTTACAGACTCCCCCACTTCACATGAGACCCCTCTGTGCAAGAGGAACACTTCCATACCCACATTTGCTTTTGCAGCCTTGGCAGGCAAGAGGGAAGTGATCAGAAGATGGACTGATGGTAGACCAAGAAATAATGGTAGATTTGTCTCACACAAGCACTGCAGGGGAGACCTCAGTGGATGTTGTATTCATGCCTGATTAAATTCTTGAGCACTGCCTGGCTCATTTTTTTTTCAAAGCTCTCCTTTGCAGTGGCTTTCTGCCCATTTGCCCGCTACCAAGCCAAGCTGTGCTTAAAAAAAGGCTCTTACAGATTGTCTTTATCCCCTTTAATCCAGCAGAATTATTTAGATGCCCTGGATGAGTGTA